TTGGGGGGGTAGAGGCGTTCTGCCACCCGCGGTCTTCGGAACTCCTGACTGTCTTGAAGAAGAAGACGAAGGTGTTGTTTGACCGTGTCCTGTAACGACTGGCGTGGAGGATCTCAGTGTATATGTTGAGCTTCCTTGGCTATAGTTGCTTCTTGCATGTTGGACATCCCGCTTTGCAAAGTCGTTTCTTGAGCTGTATTCTCTTCTCGCTACTTCAAGCCGAGATTTGAGCTGAGGATTTCCGGGAGAAGGCTTGTTTGCCTTGACATCTGATTGCTCTTGTCTCCGTTTGAACAAATCACTAGACAGCTCACCCCGGGAGCTTGCATCTCTAGAATTCAGTGAGTCATCACGTGTGCTATATCTCATCTTAGAAATGGAAGGTCCGGTTGGGTTTATGTTTTTATGATCCTTAGACTCACTTGTTTGAGGTGTAGAACTGCTTGAGGTCGACATCTTTTCTGTGTTCTTTTCCAGAGAATTCAGAGATGTAGCGGGCAAAGTGGGCGCTTTTGAGTAATTGTCATACCTGCCTTTGACAACCTCAGTATTACGAGAAGGCAATCTTGAGGCTGGTTTGGCATGATCATCATAGGAGATAGATGGTGCAGGAGGTTCGTCTTGCGTTTTGGCTTTCTTGTTTCTTCTCTCTCGCTCTTCTTTTTGCAACTGAATTTCCTTCAATTTTTGAAGCTCCATTTTTTTGTCTTCCTCTTCTTTAAGCATTTGCTTCTCATGCAATTCTATGTCTCTCCGCTTTTTAATCTGCAAAGCCTTCTCATTCTCCTCCAAGTCTATAAAATCCCAGAGATGAAGCCACGAACTTTTGCGCGACTTAACATGTCCTATCAAAGCACTTGAAGAGAGCTTCAAATCATCTCTTTTTTCCTTTCGGGTTATTTGATCGATAAGTTCAATGACTGACTCGCAATGATCTTCGACGATTGGATAAACGCCTAGAAGGTTTTTCAAGTAGGTTATGGCGTTCATTCTTGACATGTAAGTCGTTACTTGTAAGGCCCTCGAGACATCATCCAAAAGAAGGGAGTGATAATCAAATATGCTCCTGCGAAATTCGGAAAAACTCATCACTATGGAGTCAGCGTCTTTACACAAGCTTTTTTCTTGTGTGTTTTTGAGGAATTCTTCTTCCTTAGTCCAAGTGTTCAATTCCTTCAAGATAGCCGAAACAAAAATACCCAAATTTTCAGCTTCTATGGGCGTACATGTAAACAAAGTTGCAAAGAATATGCGGTTTCTGAACATGACATCGAATGTGGTCATCAAAGAATAGCCAGTGACACCTGTCTTATGGAGCTTGAATATAAACTCAGCACAATAAATTGCATCAAAAGAAGAGTGAACAGCCCTAGGTAACACACACAATTGCAAGAAGCTTTTTGCCTCTTTGATACCGTTAACAATAAGTTTTCCGCTTAATCTTGTTCTCAAATATTCATCAATCATTCCAGAATGATCCTTGTGATGAGTTTTTTCAGATGGCATAGCCAAGGATAGCGCTTCCGTCTCCGAGATTGATATTTTGAGAGATTCAAGAATTTCGCGAGTTGCGTTCTTGTCCCTGCGAGCAAAGGCATATTCTTCTTTCAAACTGTTGATTCTGGATTTAAGCTTTCTCAACTCTTGATCATATGTATCTGAAGAGTAGTTCAAGTCATATAGGCTCAATTTCCAAAACAAGACAAACATGTCTGGATTGATCTGGTCAAGGCATCCTTCAGGCAACGCTTTCTCAACCTGATCTTGAAGGTCATCAATATGAATACCCAGAAGCATATTTCTCCAAAGTTCAAAAGCCCATACAACTGGCACGTTATATTCTTTGATCAATGTATCGATTGAAAGCAACTTGGAGCTATCGTCACCAAAAAATCCGACGAGCGTGCAGATGAGATGCAATACTGAATCCAATTCATCTTTAGAACTCGCCAATACTTTGAGATGAGAAACTTCGGACGAATCTACCAATTCTCTGCTGATCTTGCAAAGTAAGACAAAGAACTCATTGATACTCCCATTTTTTGTTAATGCCTCACGTAATCTTGATCCCGAACGAACAAAATCATAGCGCTTATCTCCAATTGTCGTGTAAACAATTTTTTGCATACTTGGCTCACAATTAAGCATATCAATTTGGAGGGGGGTGAGATTTGTGATTGATTGAATACCCCCCATGGAACTCAACATCTCTTTGAGCACTATCAAATCTACATTCCCACTCGAATGAAACGACAGCAATAGATATCTGAGAAGCGAGTTCAAATCACAAGATTCAGGATATTTCTGGCAAAGCTTTCCAATGAATGAAGAGAGAGACTGAATCCATTGTCGCTCGTTTAGACCGTTGGCTTGTTTGTTAGATCTTCCGGCTGATGTGAGTCTCATCATAATGGCAAGAGTCATGTTATCCCAACCGTAGTCGTTGAAGTATACAGCGGTTTCGACGACCAAGGTGTTTAGGTTATCATAACTTTCTAATTGTTGAAGAATTGTCAAGAAACAAACTAACGGGTTGGAATGGCTTATCTTAGCTAATCTTCTTTTCATTGGCTCAATGTTTTCTTTGGACAACCGTTTTAGAATATCTTTTGTTGATTTTTCCGCTTTTGCATACGCCATTTTAACGTGTGGGTTATTTTTGGCCACAACTTGGTACAATTCTCCGTAAAGATTAAAACGTTCATCCACCAGAAAAAATGATAAGATATCATATGCTTTGTCGACGGGTGCTGAATTTTCAGCTATGAAACCAACATTTGGTAAAATGTAATTCCTAAAGTAATTAAACCACACGTTTTTTTTATCTTCGCATGAACTTGTACCTAAGTCTGCCACGATGATCTCACAAAGCTTGATGAAATTCGATAAGTTATCAACGAGAGTTGGTCCAAAAAATTTTAGGAAGTCATGTGTGATCGGAATCAAATCATCAGCAGATTTAAGTACTGGTATGCCAGTAAACCAATTTGTGATGAAGTATATCATCCGTTTGTTTCCTTCTTTGGCAACAGGATTCACACAGTAGACTTGTGACATGGAAGGCTCGCTAAACCTTACCTTGTTTAGTGGTCGCAAGGCTGGTAAAAGTTTTTCCTTTTGAAATGCCAGTAGCTGGGCAGGAGTGAAAGGCCGTAAAGTCAGGTGGAATGGATCAATGATTGCCGTTAACATTCGATGCATTAAACCAGAGATCTCTGAGTCTATGTTCACCAAAAAAGGATGATGTGAGAGAATGTAAATAGCTGGCCAATAGAGTCCATTCCCGAGAAAGCACTTTAACATTTGAAATTTCATGTTGAAACTTATCAATGATTCGACGGTGTCTTTAGATGGCAAGGTTCCAGAATTAGAAGGTTTATCCTCAAGGGCTTCATCCTCTTCGTCTGCTAACGGAGCAGCAAGAGCCAAGGCACTAGCACCGGCTTGTAGGACTTTTTCTTCGAGCTCCTTTTTATAGACTGTCTCGAGCTTGGACATTTCATCATCGGATGGCGAGAAATACGGATAAACTTGTCCAAAACTGATGAATCCTTCCTTAATAAAAAGACAAATCATGATCTTTAGAGTCTCTGATGCTCTGCTTTCTTGAGATTGCTCTGATAATCTCAAAGCTATCAGGCTCATTACCGCTGGGTTTCCACCAATATTCAAGGATTGCAAGCCATCCTTGCAGTTTCCTTCTATTTGGGGCCACCATGGCGACTTTTTAAAGAAGCTAAGGATGAACAGATGATTTCCAACAAGGTTGTTTGCGCATATGTCGATGAGTATGTCTAGCACCCGGTTTGGATCTAGCAAGTAGTGTCCAATTAGCAAGTACACGACATTTACAGCATGATCGACCAAGGACTCATTATCTTCGTTGGAGAACATTGTTTGGAACTCATTAACGAGGATCGAATAACCCTCATATTCCTCATGAAGCAAATTAAATTTGTTTTGCGTGAAAAACTCGTCTCTTTTTCTGGTGTTCATTTGGCGTGTAAGACTCCGGGCGGCAACAACATCTAGCCTAGGCAAGGTCTCTGAGTCAACGTACTGTGCTAAGGTAGAAGCGTTAATTATAGACTCGTCTTTGTGCAAACGGGTTACCAAGTCTATCAAGGTATCATCCTGGGGGAACACATCGAATACTTGACAGAAAATAATCGCTTTGAGCTCATCACTGATGGCTAGCTTCAAAAACCCAGTTACACTTTCAACTGACAAGTCTTGGGTCAACACATGCATCAAAATTTCAGTGAAAATACGGCTGGCAATGTCACTGGCTGTCTCCTCCAGAATTTCAGGCGTTTGCAACGCTTCAAGCAAGATTTGCGTACCAGAGCCGTTAAAACCTGCCACAACAGACTGTGTGAGAAATTCGAATTCACCCGACAGTTCCGACATTCTTGAGTTGACGCCTGAAAATATGCTTCGACTTGTTTTGACTTTAGTAGCAGAGTGCGTGCATCTATTCACTCACGGAACGGTCGATTGGAGTTGCGCGCTCTTGGAGTGCGTATCGTATCAAAGATATATAGAGAATAATAAACCACTGGAAGTCTTTGGCAGTTTTTTTATTCCTAGTATGTGTCAGTTGATACAAAATGTAGCATGAGTGCATTTGAACTGTTTGCTTACTTTAGAATCAATAGTGGCTTTGTTTCAGTGACGCGAAACTTCACAAAAATAACCGAAACGATGAAACCAGCTGCGGTGATTTAAAGGCGATAATATATATAATTTTCAGGACCTCTTGAAAAGATTAGGCTCCGAATCATGAAAGCTAGTAGTGAGGTAAGGGATCTTAGATAGATTGAAAAGGAGAAATTACAGGTTGGCGGATTATCGTTGTGGCTTCGAAGTCAATTGATTTCAGATGCATGTGATGATTTATTTATTTCTTTGTGAATGATTGAGAAACGCAAACTTCTGGTCTTTCTTTTTTCTTTTTTTTTTTTCTGCAAGCAATTTGAAAAAGTTTTTTTGATAGTAATTGGCATTAAGTGCCAGAGAATTTGAAACTTCAGTTTAACAACATCCAATATGTAAAGAGATACGGGCCATAAAGACCGTCCAGGCCGAAACTAACGGAAGGGGCGGGCCGAGTTTCGACGCCTGGTACGTAGCTAAGAGCTATTTAAAGGTCTTTTATATATATTGGCTGTATAATTTTGCTTCTTCAATCAGATGAAGCTTCTTCAATGAGATAAATTTACCAAAAAAAACCAGAGTTTTTGACAATAATAGACACAGGGTCTCCCTTAGATTATTTTTACTTTCTTTAGAAGAGTAGGGTTTTTTTT